GGGTCGGAGAATCGCGCCGCATGGCCGACACATCGGCGATGGATCGGCGATGCATCGTGAATGCGGCGGCGACGCATCGTCGACGCCGGCGACGCATCGGTGACGTCGACGTGAAGCAAATCGCGCTCCACATCGAGCCGCATCGGTAACGCATTGGCGATGCGGCGCGATCCTCTGACCCCATCTAGAAGGCCTAGATAAACATAGCCCTAAGTCGGGCCTGTCCGACTACAGGAGGAGTTTGGACGAAAGTAAAGAATACTCAAAACATGCCCCAAATGGTCAAACATACTCAAACAAACGTCCCCAGACTAATTCTTACAACTTTTTAATATTCCTCCTGTAGGGGGACAGGCCCGACTTACATATAGCCCCACGCCCTGGAATCTGCTTGAGGCGGGAAGGATGCGGCACGCAACAAATGCCAGAAGAAGGCAGGGGGGGGCGGGCTGAACCTGCCGCGGGCCCCTGCCTGCGGGACCCGCCGCAAGTTGAGGGGGTCTCGTGGGGGGCTCGGAGGGCACGGGCAGGGAGGCTCCTCTGATGGGCCTGTTGTCCACCACCACCACCACCATAAGTTGGAGAGGGCCTTGTACTCCTCCTCCTCCTCCCCCTCCTCCTCCCCCTCCTCCTCCTCCTCCTCCTCCTCCTCCTGCTCCTGCTCCTGCTCCTGCTCCTCTCCTCCTCCTCCTCCACCTCCTCCTCCTCTTCCTCCTCCTCCTCCTCCTCCTCCCCCTCCTCCTCCTCCTCCTCCCCCTCCCTCCTCCTCCCCATCCCCCCCCTCCCCCTCCTCCTCCTCCTCCTCCTCCTCCTCCTCCTCCTCCTCCTCCTCCTCCTCCTCCTCCCCTCCTCCTCCTCCTCCCTCCTCCTCCTCCTCCTCTCTTCTGCTCCTCCTCCTCCTCCTCCTCCTCCTCCTCCTCCTGCTCCTCCTCCTCCTCCTGCTCCTCCTCCCCTACCTCCTCGTCCTCCTCATCATCTTAGTCCTCCTCCTCTTCTCCTCCTCCTCCTCCTCCTCCTCCTCCTCCTCCTCCTCCTCCTCCTCCTCCTCCTCCTCCTCCTCCGCCTCCTCCTCCTCCTCCTCCTCCTCCTCTTAGTCCTCGTCCTCCACCTCTTTCTCCTTTTCCACTTCTGGTGGTGGTGGTGGAAAACGGGCCCATCATCCTTTCCCCCTCGGGGAGCAAACACAATATCGATGATACGCCGCCGCGGGGAACCCATCAGCGTGCTGCCGTGGAAGCAACGCCAGGCCTTCCGAAAAAGACGAGGGAGCAACACGCCAAGGGGCTACCAACGGCAGCGTGTCGTTGATGTTGTTTCTCCCTCTCCGACTCCCTTCCCCTTCTCGCCGGTTTGAGGCGGGACGGCGCACGCGTGCCGCATCCCCACCTGCGGGCGCCTGCCGAGTACTTCTCCGTGTGCGGCTCGGTTGCGTTGGCACGCTTCACGTGGATATCGCTCGTCGCACCGCGCAGTGGAGCGTGCCGCTGGAGCGTCTTCCGACGCTGCGATCGCCGCGCTCGCCATTTTGGAGCTGCGCCTCGGCTCCACCTTCTGATATCCATGAGATGTATATCACCTGTGTACAGCGTTCGTCTCGACCCACCGTGTATGTAGTGTCCAGCGCTCTATGAGTATGTAGCACTAGGTGTGCAGCGTCCGTCTCGAAATACACCACTAATGTCCAGCGTTCTCTGAGTGCAGATCACTACTGTGCAGCGTGCTGCGCATCCAGCCGTGCTCGAAGGTCCCCTATCAGCGCTGACGATGAGGATGAGGATGAAGAGGAGGAGGAGGTGGAGGAGGAGGAGGAAGAGGAGGAGGAGGAGGAGGAGGAGGAGAGGGAAGGAGGATTTGGATTGCGCTCTGATTCGCCGAAGAGACGGTCAGCTTACTGCGGCACTCACTAGCTGCTGCAACAGGGCGTACATGCAGCACGGGCGCCAAGGTTTGGTGAATCTCCCCGCCCCCGTCCTGTCCTACCCCCCCCCTCAGCGTCTGAAGGCGCTCAGGGCGCATCACAACGCCGCAGGAGGCGGGAGGAGGCAAGAGGAGAGGAAGGAGGGAGGAGGGAGGGGAGGGGGAGGAGGGAGGGAGGAGGGAGGGAGGAGGGAGGGAGGGAGGGCGGAGGGACGCGAGGCGCTGTGGCCTGACTCCTGCGGTGTGATTATGGAGCCATCGTGGTGCGGCACAGGGCGGTGCGCGGCCCTCGTGTGGCCGTTCGTGTCTCCGGGGGAGCTGGGAGGAAACGACGGCGACGCTGCTGAAAAGAAAGTAGCTCCGGATGTCGAGCCGCGTCCGCCGTGGAGATCTGTCGAGAGGGAGGGAGACAGAAAGAGAGAGAGAGAGAATTTATACATATATATATATACATATGACTAAAAATTGGTTTAAAACAAACAGTACATATATATATATGTACACGTACATACCAGGAGAGTCAACCGAGGGTTGCATGAGAATGAAGGGGTCCGCATGCCGAGCATCGCCCTGCCCCTCTCTCCAGCCCTCTCCCTCCCCTCCCGCCCGCTCCACCCCTTCCCCTCCCTTATGTGGGCTGTCTGGGGAACTTCGGACTGACCATCTCGACCGCCGAGACTTACCATTTAGTGGCACTTGGTGGCCGCTTAGCGGCCTGCAGCGGCTGTTGAATGGCACCCAGTGGCCTTGAGCGGCTCCGAAGTTCTAGTTGGCCACATAACCTCCCGCATCCCCCAGCTCGCCTCCATCCTTCCTCGGGCCCCCACCGTCCAGTCATGAGGCTCGTCCCTGACCATCTCCGGAGACAGGTAGTCGAGGGTGCCGCAGAATGTGGTCCTTCATCGCCCAATGACGCAAGCTGAGATCGACAACAACATAGAAAAGGTATGTAGCTAGCCCAGCGCGGTACGATTGTTGCGCCACGCCTCTTTTTGGCGAGGGGCTCTCTGGTGCGCCAACAAAGCACAAAGGTAAGCGAGAGTGAAGGTATGGACCACTCCCATAGATGGGGTCCGAATACATGGGGTCGGAGGATCGCGCCGCCTGACCGATGCATCGGCGATGCATCGGCGATGCATCAGCGATGCCTCGGCCACGTCGGCGGTACATCGGCGACATCGGCGTGGAGAAAATCGGGCCCTGCATCGAGCCGCTTCGGCGATCCTACCGGACTGATGCCTTTTCGCTTGCAGTTCTGCTCAGAGAAAACCTGTGCGACCGATTGCGGACCCTGCCCCAACGGGTCCCCGACCGTCGCGGGGGGGGTTGGAGAAGCTCAGCCTGGGGCCCCCGTGGCTGCAGACACCCCCTCGAGCTATGACCCCCCGCCGGTGTGTCAGAAACCTCGACTGCTGGGGCACAGTCATCGTGCCAGGCAGCATTCTTGGCGTTGAGTTGGGAGCGAAGGGGCCTTCCTGGCACGTGTAAGCACCCCATGGATTTGCATGACTCAGGGGTTGAGGGGGTACTTTATTATCGCGGGTATGCGGTGTATGTTAATGAATTGCCGACCACTGCAATTGCCAAGGAGGCCCACACCGCTCAGAGCAGCCCTAGAGGCCGCAAGAGCAGCCGTAGGGTCCCCAATATGCCCGGAGGAGCTCCAAAGAGAGGCCCCGACTGAGGCGTCGCATGGCAAAGCGTAACGAGACGAAGCATGGTGAGGGTGTTTCTGCCGCTCAGACCTACCTGTCTAAGATGGCGCGCCCAGAAGGTGTGGGCCCAGAAGGGTCGACGGCAAAAGTTATCCCTAAGAACAAACAGCGTCCGATGGTGGCCTCATGAAGACCCGACGACTTCCCCTGAGGCGACGAAGATGTCCCAAAAGGTTCTCAAGATGCCCCCAACATGTCCCCGAAGCGGACCAAGAGGGGACCACGGCGCCGCCAGCATGGCCTCAGTGAGGCCCTGGGGAGGGTCCAGACTGCATCCAAGAAGCCCCTCTCGCGTTCGAGATTGGAACCGAGGCCCCCAAGGCAGCACTCGTGACCTCCACCGCCCCCTCTAAGTTGACCCAGCCCAAACTAGTCCCCCCATGTCACTGCAGCTGTTCCCGCAAAGGCTGGGAAGGCAGTGAACGGCAGTGCGGCTTGCCCGAGACGTCTCCACTTCAAAGAAGACGAATGGTTGCGTCTCCAGACATCTAGTCCGACGTGCCGCCGTCCGTGCAAAAATGTCCCACACGGGTCCGTCGACGCGACCGCCCCTTCTGTTCGGATCACGACACCAAGTACGCACCCGGACCACATGAAGATGGAACACATCATGGGTACAGTCGGGGCGTTGACTTAAGGAACCCTAAACCCTAATAAGGAACGAGGCCCCTTTTTTCCACAAGTTAACCTTCGATTTCCCATCGAAAACACAAGGAAAACCTGAGGCAAGCTGTGAAACAATCAAGGAACACGGAGCCCCTCCCCAACGAAAAGGGTTCCTTCTTCAGGACCCCTACTGTACAGTGGGACCTGGGCCAGAAGAACATCCACGAAGATCACGAGGCCCTCCACGGGCCATAGCGCCCAGAGCATCGAAGGGTACCCTCCTCCACAAGATGCGCAACAGCACCCAAGCAGAACACGAAGAACACCAGGGATGGCTCCCCGAACCGACCCCGATCTTACGCCTCGGTCCGGCTGTAAGCACAAAGGTTGATGGGCCGGTTTTCCACCACCACCACCACCATACGTTGGAGGGGGGAAGGAGGTGGAGGACGAGGAGGAGGAGGAGGAGGAGGAGGAGGAGGACGAAGAGGAGGAGGAGGAGGAGGAGGAGGAGGAGGAGGAGGAGGAGGAGGAAGGGGAGGAGGAGGAGGAGGAGGAGGAGGAGGAGGAGAAGGACCCCCTCCCCCTCCAACTTGTGGTGGTGGTGGTGGAAAACAGGCCCATTGAGGAGGAGGAGGAAGAGGAGGGGGAGGAGGAGGAGGGGGAGGTGGAGGAGGGGGAGGCCTAAGAGCGTCCTGAGGGCAGACGCTCGGCCCTCCGTGCACCAGCCGAAGTCCGCCAGCTTCACGGAGTCCCCGCACATCAGGATGTTCTCGGGCTTGAGGTCGCCTGCGCGCGCCGCCGGTGTGATCGCCACCGGCCCCCGCCTTCGGCCGAGGCCGACGTCAGCACCGAATGCTCCGCAGCCGAGACGAAACGCCCCGAGGCGCAGCGGCCTCGGCGCCGGCCCCACGACGCCTGCCCCGACGCTGGCCTCGTGGCCTCCCTTTCCACGGCACGACCTTGCGCTGCCTCCTCCCGCACCGTTGGGGGACGCTCTGTGCGCTCGCGGGGAGGCTGGACTGGGAGCTGGCGCGCCGAAGCGTCATCGTGCAGCCCTCGTGCTGCTATAGGCATTGCCGCACGAGGACCGGAGGGGGCTCTCTGGTCACGGCGAGCTCTGCCCACGAACACCTTTGCGGCGGAGCGAGACTTCGACTCCCAGAGCTTGTGCTCGGACGTCCATTTCCTGTGCATTTTTCGGTTTCGTGCGTGTTTTTTTTTCGATGGTCCAGGATGGTCCTCGATGGTTCTCGCCGAAAGAAAATGCACACGTCCGAGCGATGCCAAGAGAGGGGGAGGGCCACCCTGCCGCTTCCGGTGGCCCGTGACCCTGCCGCGGCGGCGCCCCCCCCACCCGAGTGGCCATCAGCCCGTCGCGCCAGAGTGGCCGCGCGGGCGCAGGCAGGGGAACGTCAATCGCCCTGCGTGCGCCGCTGCGCGGAGCTTGGCAAGGAGGCGGCCCTCGTCAGACCAGCGCGGTCCACCAGACGCTAAGGAAACTACCCGCAAATGGCCTGTGTCCGCCGCGGGGGAGCCACGATCCATGACAGCGAGGCGAAGATGCGTTTTTTGTTTCCGGTCGTCTGCGAACCAGCACTTTGCGAGTAGTGGAACGCGCTCGGTGATTCGTGCAGGCCGCGGGGACACGCATGGCCGCGCAGATGGCGCGGGAGGAGCTGCAGGAGGAACTCGTCGCTGCCCCAGCCAGCGCTCGCTGGCAATTAGCGTGAGGAAACAGGTCCGAGACCCCAGAATCTTTACCCTGCCGTCGGTTGCAACCAGAAGGGTTACCGGCCCACGGCTTCTACGACGAGCGTTTTGCTGGGGGGTGGTGCTGTCGATCGTATTTGGTTTCGCGCTCTCCGCGGAGCTTCCAGTGTGGTCGTTTAGATATCAATGTGTGGCTGCTCCGTTGCACTGGGCTCCCTCACTATCCTCCTCCTCCACTCCCCTCCGCTGCGACTTCTCCTGATCATTCCTCTCTGACTCCAACCCCCCTCCCTCTCCACGCATGTCTGACTCCAACCCTCCTCCCGCTCCACGCCTCGAAGCAGCATAGATCGTCAGAACCCCCACCCCAATTGTGGGAACTAGCTATCTGAACTTATATGTTCGACGCCCTTGCTGATGGACTTTTTTTTTGCTAGCCACGGCTGTGAACAAGCTGCGCGAACTTTGTTACATCTCGGCCTTCGCAAGAGGTCATGGGCCGCATGCGTGCCCTCAACCTGGTAACAACGATCCAAGATTGGGGCTGCTGGCTTTCTGCGCTTGGTGAAACAATTCAGGCCGAACTGGAACCCTCCGCTACGCCAACATCGGCCTCCCTTCACATAGTTTCCGCAGACCCTTGCTGATGGACTGGGGCCGCACCAATAGACAAACAGGGGGGAGGACCCAAACCAAAGACCCGTCTCGGCGATCATGTATACTCATTCCTGTCCTCTGCCTCCTGGTTCCTTCCCCGCCTCTTCTCAGCGCCTCCCTGCCCTCCGACGGGAGAGCGCCACCACTTACCCCCCTGGGGGGGGGGGTTCACGGTGCACGACGCCCAGCGAGTGCAGGTAGTCCTTCGGCAGCCCAAGGGGGGGGGGGGGGCGGCCAACCATGCCGCTGCTCCCTCCTCCTCCTCCTCCTCCTCCTCCTCCTCCTCCTTCTCCTCCATCCGCACCATGCCCTCTGCCCCCGTCCCTCTTTCATTCGCCCTCTCCCCCCGCTGCTCTGTGATCCCTCCCCTCCCTCTCTCCTCCCTCCCTCTCTCGCCCTCCCCCCTTCTCACTATGTAGCATCGCGATGCTTTCGTTTCACACGCCTTTGTTTTCCGGGCGCTTCGGCCCCACCCTGCAGCACCCCCGCGGTGCAAGACGCAGGCCGAGTCTCTCTCTCCTCCCTCCCATATCCGCATCCATTGCGTTCTCCCTCTTTCCTGCTTCCTCCGGCCCACCTTCCGCACTCCCACTCTCCCCCCGAGAGATTTGGGAGGACGCGGGTAAGCCAGAAACAAGCGGAAGCACGGCTATCCGAAGTCCGACTTCCTCTGTACGGCAAGAAACCATTCCTGAACGTTGGTGGAAGACTGCGGGAAGAAGGCATCGGCACTCAAAGAGGCCCAACGCAAAATCCACAATAAACGACGCCCAAACGAAACATCATGGAATACACCCGGGCAAATGCGGAACCGATGGCACTCTACTAACGAGCCACGATTGGGACCGTGAACCAAACAGGGTCAACGTGTCAGCCCACCCTCAGGGAAGGATCACATTCATCAACACTGGACGGAGGTTGTTGCCCTGCCTCCCTCTGTCGGGGAGACGTAAGACCCGGGTACAGGGGACTCGGAAATCCCCGACGAGGTCGTCAAAAAAACGACGAGGCCGAGCCTGCATTTTGACGAGGCCTCCCGCTGCAGACATCCCACGAAACTCCTCCTCGTCAAAATCCGAGGCGCGGTCGTCAAAAAACGATGGCGAACCCGAGTCCTGGCAAACCCGGGTCTTACGCTCACCCGACTCTGGCCTCTCCTCCCCCTGTCTTGTCCGGGCAGCCATAGCCTCCCCGTCCCGCATCCGCTGCCTTCCTCCCCAGCATCTCCTCTCGCCACCGCCCAGCTCTCGCCCACCCTGCCCTGCACTGAGTGGGCCCCAGGACTGGCAGGGCCGTTTCTTAAACCGTTTCCGAGAAATCTTGAAAATGGCAACGGCAAAAAAAAGCGACCCGAAACGGCAACAAAAACGGCTCCAGGATTGGAACCCGAGCCGGAACCGGTAAAACAATGGCCCATGGCGACGCAACCGGTCGAACAAACACAGCGCCTGAACGGGCAACAACAACGGCAAGATGGAACCGGCAAAAAAACGGCCCTGTCGTCTCCAGGGCACACCAAGGCCGTGCACACTTGCCCATCCAATCCCCCTGCCCCCGACCTCCTGCCCTCAGCCTCTGCCCCCGACCTCCTGCCCGCACCCCACCCCGCCCCCTCCAGCGCCGCTGCGACGTCCGCGAAGTGGCGCGCCGCCTGGCGGAGACAGGCCCAGTCGCGTGGCAGAGTTAGATCGGGCGTGTCCTCCTACAGGGGGATTTTGGACGGAACATCAAAAATAGCGAAAACATGTCCAAACATACTCAACAATCGTCCCCAAACAATTTTGGGAATATTTTTCCGGTAGAGGGACAGGCCCGACTTAACCGTGGTGTGCCCCCAGCGACCTCACGACCCCACTTGCGAAGCGCACCTGCCAGAATATCAGCCAGGCTCTGGAGCGACGACCGGGGCCAAGGCCGCCCCACGAGGATCTCCTCGACCTCTGGGGGAAGCCTGCGAAGGACCCCTGGGAGAGGCGGACGGGCTTCCTTGAAGGGGCCCTGGGACACACAAATAAACACACACACACACACACGCACACACGCACACACGCACACACACACACACACACACACACAACAAAAAACGGTTTCCACATTTCCCCGTAATTTTCTGGGTTTGCGTCTTCCCCCCACTTCCCACATTTTCCCATCTGTCCTTGGAATCGACGATTCATTGTGTCTGTGTGTTTTCTCTCCTCCTGCTTCCTAGAGGTCGCGGGGGAGGCCAGGGACGCGTTCGGGAGAGACCTGCGGGCCTCTGGCTCGACGTGCCAGCGTGCCGCTCCTGACGCGAGCCTCTGGAACCTCGGCCACGGCAGGAGGAGGGAGGGAGGGAGGGAGGGAGGGGCAGAGGAGAGGACCGTCGCGGAGGAGGAGGGAGGGGGAGGAGGAGGGAGGAGGAGGAAAATGGGGGAGGGAGGCGGGAGGGAGAGCGGAAGGATGAAGGGAGAGAGGACCGCCGCGGGAGGAGGGAGGAGGAGGAGGAGGAGGAGGAGGAGGAGGAGGAGGAGGAGGAGGAGGAGGAGGAGGAGGAGGCGGAGGGAGGAGGAGGAGGAGGGAGGGAGGAGGTGGAGGGAGGAGGGAGGAGGGAGGAGGAGGAGGAAGGAGGGAGGAGGGAGGAGGGAGGAGGAGGAGGGAGGAGGGAGGAGGAGGAGAGGAGGATGAGGAGGAGGAGGAGGAGGGAGGAGAGGAGGAGGAGGAGGAGGATGAGGAGGAGGAGGGAGGAGGAGGGAGGAGGGAGGGAGGAGGGGGAGGGAGGGAGGGAGGAAGGAGGGAGGAGGAGGAGGACGAGGAATGGGGGAGGGAGGCGGGGGGGGAGAGGAGGAAGGATGGAGGGGAGGGAGGGAGGCTCAGGGAGGGCTGTGGCTGGGCCGAGGCTGCGCTCGAGCGGGCACCCGCCCCCCGGGCGGAGGCGCGGCCCCGAGCGGGCCCCGCGGCGGGCTCCCCCCCGCCTCGGGCTCGGGCAGCTTGCCGCGCTTCCTGCGGCGGGGCCGCCAGCCGCCAGCACGGTCGAGAAGCAGGGGGTCGACCCAAACAGCCAGAAACCATCCTCCATTTGGGGATCGACCCCCAAATCGACCCCCATTTGGGAAACCTTGGCCCCCAATTTGGGGATCGACCCAAACAGGTGGAAACCATCCTCCATTTGGGGAACGACCCACGGTCGAGAAGCAGGAGATCGACCCCCATTTGGGAAACCTTGGCCGGGCGTACCGGCTTAAGAGCGTTTTCTTTTCTTCGGCGTTTCGACATGGAACGTCAAGGGGGGGGGCAGAGGGGGGGTCTGGCTCCAGACCTCTGCTCGGTGAGACTGTTTGCAGCCGTGCGTCCTCGGGGGGGAGACTCCACCCGCTCGAAACAGAGGCAACAAACAGCCAAGATCTCTTCCATGGGGGGGCGAAGGGGGGGGGGGGCGGCGCCGATCGGCAAAACAATGAATCAAAAAACGATCACCTTCGCCCCCTGATATGGGAATGTGTTCCGTCGCTCGGGTTTCGCAACACCCGACCCCGCCCAACTGAGGGCCAACTTGCCCGAACCTGGCCCTGACGATGATGAATCGAAGAAGAAGAAGGCCAGCAACGTGTTAAACAAAGCATTGCTTAACTGTCGCTCTGCACATTGTGCCGTATTCGGCCTCTGGAAATCCTAACCAGGCAACGGGCCACAAATAAACGACTCAGGGTGACAATCTGTCCCCGGGATAGGGTCGAGACTTCAAGCGACCCCTTATTCACATTCATGATAACTGAACTAGAGCACTACTAGTAAAGTGTCCAACAATGATGCTCAGTGTCAGGGCCGTGCTAGCGCAGTGATGGAACGGTGATAAATGAACTATGGAAACGAACAGCTGTACTGACTATATCTGGTGCAAGCAATTTGCCTGACTATCTCAAACTGCGGCATCTCGTCGTTCTGATTTGGAACATGAAGCCGTTGTTTGAAGACAGTATGCTTGATGCTGAAAAGTTCTGTGCACTGTATATGCACATAACCACGTACAGGAGTATGGTCACAAAACGTGTGGTTGTCCTGGGTTTTGCGTATGTGGTGCTGGTGGTGTGTGAAGATGTGCGTGTGTATATCTGTTGGGGCTTCGTTTGCATGCCGAGCCACCTTATAATACGACTAATAGACATAATGAGAAGAATACTAATGATGTGATAATGTGCGTGTGTCATAAATGATGTTGCTTGGATGTTCCGTTTTCGATCGGTTTGCCAAGCAGGACTCCCCCCCAAACCGGGACCTCCCAACGGGACCCCGCGGACGCCCGTGGAGAGGGCCCCCCCAGGACTTCCGAACCTCCCTGCTGGACCTCGCCAGCGGGCCCAGGGCGGTCAGGAGATTTGCCAAAAACGGTCCCGCGAGAGCCCCAAGCAACCCCAGACACACACAGGACGCCCGAAGACGGCGCACGTTACACCAAAGAAAAAACAATCAGTGGGTGGTTTGAAATGGGATCGATCAAGATATCGATAAAGAGATCGACTGGGAACACAAAGCACGGGAACCCGGAACCCACCGAAATCGGACTGGACCCAATGACCAAGCACCCAGCAGGTGTGTGTGTGTGTGTGCGATAGAATTCCGAATTCGGCTTGCTGGTATGATTTGTTTGGCTGCGATGCACGATAGCGAAAGACGACGAAGGATGATAATCATGATCAGACTTCGGAGGGCGCGCCGCTGGATGTCCCCAAGGGGGGGGGGCGGGGACCCCCCCCCTCCCTTTCCCCGATCCGTCGTCGGGGAACGCCCCCCCCCCCTTTCCCGATCCGTCGTCGGGGAGCCCTCCCCCCTTCCCCCCCTTTCCCGGTCCGTCGTCGGGGACCCCCCCCTCCCCCCCCCTAACAAAAAAACGGGGGGGGGGTCCGAACCCCCGCCCCCCCCCCCCCACTTTGGCCGCCAAACTCGACCCCCCCCCCCGGTTTCGCCATGGCGCCCCCGGTCTCCGGAACCCGACCCCTACCACCCCGAACGCTAATCCTGACCTGTACCCTAACTCCTAATCCCAGACCCAAACCCAAACCCTAGCCCCAAACAGTATTCACTACTCATTACGCACTGCTCACTACCCACACTCACTACTCGCAACTCATTTTTCAATTTTCACTACTCACGACTCACTACTCGCTGCCCACAACTCACTTCTCACTATCCTCTACTCGCTACTCGCTACTCCCTACTCCGTACACAGTACTCACTACTCACCACCCACTACTCGCTACTCCCTACACCCTACTCGCTGCTCAATACACACTACGAGCTACTCACTACTCACTACCCACTACGCAATACTCACTACTCACTAAACACAAAGAACTACCCACTTTTTTCACGAATCACATATCACTACTCACTACCCACTAACCGCTATCCACTACTCACGACTCACTACTCACACTTCACTACTCACTACTCACTGCCCACAACACGACACTCACTATCCTCTACTCGCTACTCGCTACTCCCTACTCCCATACACAGTACTCACTACTCACTACCCACGACTCGCTACTCCCTACACCCTACTCGTTACCGAATATGCATCACTATCCGCTACTCACTACCCAATACGCTCCCACGACCCAATACTCACCACTCCTTACTCCCTACTCAATGCTCCCAACGAACTACTCACTACTCACTACCAAGTGCACAATACTTACTACTCACTAAACACTACTCGCTGCCAACTACTCACTATTCACCCAGCAGCGCTACTCCCTACCCACGAACCACTATCCACGACTTACTACCCAGTACTCACACGTCACTACTCATACGCACGAGTCAATAGTCGGAAGCCGCTACTCACTACTCACTACTCAATGCTCACGACTCACTACTTACTACTCACTAAGTTATACTCGCTACTCCCTCCTCACTACCCACAACTCAACACTCACTTGACGATTCTCACTGTTCACTACTCACTACTCACTACTCCCTACTCCCTACTCACCATTCCCTACTCACTACTCGGTACTCCCTACTCGCTACGCGCTACTGTCTACCCACTACTCTCTACTAACACCTGACTACGACCTCCTCACTACTCACTACTCACAACGCCCTAGTCGCTACTCGCTACTCACTACTCGCTACCCTCTACTCGCTACTCCCTACCCACTACTCGCTACTCGCTACTCACTAGTCACTCCTCACTACTCACTCCTCACTGCGAACTACTCACGACTCACCCCTCGCTATTCGCCACTGTCTACTCCCTCATCCCTTCTCCCTGCTTACTACTCACTATGCACTACTCACTATACACTACTCACTCCGCCCTACTCACAATTTCTTACGCCCTACTTCCTTCCCACTACTCACTACTTTTACTCACGACTCACTACTTACTAATCTCCACGCACACTCACTACTACCACTACCCATCACCCACTACTCACTACTCACGACACACTTTGCACAACCCATTTGGAAATACCAACTTTTTCACCAATCGCTATCAAAACACTCTACTCTATACTCAATACCCACTGTCCAGTACCCACTACTCAATACTCACTTCTCCCTAGTCCCTACAACCCTCTCCCTACTCACAGCTCACTACTCGCTATCCACTACTCACTAGCCAATACTCTCAACTAACTACCCACTACTCACTGCCCAGTCCCCGCTTCTCGTAACCTACTCCCTACTCCGCACTAACTTCTCACTACTCCGTACTCGCTGCTTACCACTCCCTACTTGCTAATCAATAGTTGCTACTCCCTGTCCCCTACTCGCTAGTCACCACCCACTACCGACTACTCACTGCTCCCTACCGACTACCACGACCCACAAGCCACTCACCACTACTCACTACCCACTACCCACCACTCACTACCCAATACTCACTACTCACTACTCAGTACTCACTACTCACTACGCACCACTCACTAACCACGAATCACTGTTCACGAACCACTACACACTACTCACTAATCACTACTCACGAATGACGACTCCCTGCGCACTACTCACTACTCATTACGCACTACTCACTACTACCGACACTCTACTCGCTACTCGCTACCGAGTACCACTACCTACTACTCACTACCCGCGACTCACCACTCACTCCCCGCTGCGCACAACCCACTACCAACCACCCAATATTCAGTACTCACTGGTCACTACACTCTGACATATACTCACCACTCACCTCCGAGTGCTCAATACTCACAACTCACTACCCACTACGCACTACACAATGCTGAATACCCTTCTCGAGCTTCTCGCTACTATATACTCACCACTCCTTAGTCATTACTCACTATCTTTACACAGTACACACTTCTCACTCCGTCCCTCTCCAACCCCCTGTTCGGCGCAAAGGAGGGGAGGGGGGGGGGGGGTCGAACCTCCCCCCCCTTTCCAGCGCCAAGGCAGGAGAAGGGAGGGAGTCCGGAACCCCCGTTCCCCCTTCAAGGGAGGGGGGGAGGGTCAGATCCCCCCCCCTCCCCCTTAAAGAGGGGAGGGGGGGGGGTCCAAGATCTCACCCCCCCCTTGAAGGGAAGGGGGGGTTCTGCGAGTACACCCGTCCATTTGTGTATTCAGGGACATCATCCACTGGCGCGCTTTCCAGATTTTGGGTAAGGAATGATGCGTCGGAATGTGATTGTGCGTCCGATCGGTTGCTGTGCTAAAAGTGGTGATTATGATGGTAAATATGTTGATGATGGTCAGGGACAACTGTTGATGTGGCTGCGACCCGTTTCCTCAGCAAGTCGCCCCCCCAAAAAAACACAAAACTGCTCAACTACCGCAGCTGTTCACCGGTTTGCGCCTGCATGTGTTATGCTCCGCTGGAGGAATTCAGTCTTGTTCGTTGATGGGGAGGCATCTTGTTCCGAGGGCCTCAGATTGTGGACTAACGAATGAAGAAGACATACGAGAAGGATGGAGGGAATTGTCCTCCACCCGACAGGGTAGTGCTGCCAGAATTTGAAAAAATCGCTCGACCG